TCTGGGCTAGAGCTCCGGTCGTCTGGTCGGCCACCATGCCTGGGATGCATTTTCTCGTACTCCTCGATGGCCAGGCCAGGGCCTATGCCGCCTGCTCTCGCCACCACTTGATGGACGTCATTATCGTGCTGGGCATGGCATCGATTGTTGATGACACTGCGGGCATCACGGTTTGGCCTGAGCCATTCGCGCATAGGTGGTCGGTGTGGAGCGAACGTCGGGTCGGGCTGTGGTGTAGCAACGGCCTCCTGCTCCATGCCCAGCAACTGTAGTGGTGAGTGGATGGAGCGATTCGACTGGTGTGGCCCTATTCCCCCGATGGGGCAAGAGGTCATGAGCTAGTGTCACAACATGGAGCTCTCCGCCTGTTGAACGGCGGCGGTTTCCACCAGCGCCCAAAGGTTTCGATGGATTACCTGTTCCTAGGGGTCGGTAGGCTCGGGAAGGCCACGCAGAAGCATCGCCGCAGCAGCGATGTTCTGGCCAGCCCAAACAAATTGTGGGGGAACGTTCACTCCATCCAGGATGTTACGCTGGACCTGGCGGGCGTGACCTCGAGCGCCGCTCGCCGGGTTACGCGCAGGTGGCGGCTGACTCTGCCGCCTTTGTCGTAACTCCTCGCCATGCTCCTATGAACACGCGAGGGCTTTCGCACGAGGGTCCGGAGGAGTGTGAGTCTGCAGAGATTTCGCTAACACCAGTGGCTGTCTTGGGGCATCCACCATAGCACACTCCGGGGACAGAGGGTGGCCAGGTGCCACGACGTCGTCGATGCTGGAGCCGTCGCTTTCGATCTCGTCATCTACGAGGTCATGAAAGGAGGCGAGAGCGTAGCCCGCCACCCCCCGAATTTGGATGTGAGAGGGGGCGGCGTCAGCATCCTTTGGAGCCCCCTCGCGTACGCGTCCCCGGGGGGACACGAAGCCATAGAGGAATCGGTCGCACGGCGGTCGCAGTGGGGACAACGGGGTCCCTCCGGAGAGTCGGTGGAAGGTGTTAAATAATGAGTAAAGAACAACATATACATTACTCACCGTGAAGTTTGAGCCCAGCATGGGCTCGAGGTGAAGCGCGAGGGTTTCGACGTTGAGGTCATCGGGTGGCCCAGGGCCGATGGAGGGCGCTCCTCCTTCAGTGGACGACGGGACGAGTGCCTCCTCATGGAGGCGGAGTACGTCGAGCCAGTCAGCGACGAAGTCTAGATTCCAGAAAAGGAAGGTCTAGAGTGGCACGAAGACGGGAGGAACCCACATCCCAACAGGTGGGGGCGTGGGGAACTCTAGCGAGCCGAAGTGAATCGTATCACTCGAGCCCGCCATGACGAAGATGGTGGAAAGGTGGGCCATCCGATGATAAAAGCGTAAACGCACGACGTCCTCCCCATCGGACGGTGCCAACTGTCGGTGCGAAAAGTGACCAACAAGTAAATATTGTAGTTTTGTCGTGCGTTGTGATCGGATGTGGCCTAGCACTCAATGACACATGATTTATACTGGTTTAGGTAACATGCCCTACGTCCAATTTTAGTTGGTCGATGACTTTATTCCTGAGCCCAGGTGCTCGAAGCTTGTTGTGGGGTTACAAACGAGTAGAAATAAGAAGGGGGTGTTAAAGGCCCGGTCGGACTCTAAACCGAAGGGCCAAGAGTGACAGGGGCTCTAATGTGCGCTAAGTATTAGAGCGTATGTTCTGTGTAGCTTTACAGTTCTAGAGCTATTGAGTTATTCGAGTTCTCAGGTCCTCGAGTGCTCGATTCGTCTAGCTTCTCTTTTTTTAGAGAGCCAGAGAGCCAGAGAGAGCTTTTTAGGAGAGAGCTCATCCCCTTTTATAGTCGAAGAGGATGGCCTTACAACTCAGAGAAAGAGAGAGAATGTATACATGTGCTACCTAGTCTTGTTGCCCACGCTATCGGGTATGAGACGGTCGTCGGCGTCCACAATACTGTTTATGTCCAGATGCATGTGGTAGGCTCGACCATGTTCGCCTGGTATGGCAAACGTCGGTGAATATAATACTGTTTGTGTTGATGACACGCCTGGAAGGTTGCATAGTGCCCATTTGGCATGGCCTGGTGGCACCGTTCTGCAGGTGCGCAGGATATGGCAAGGTACGGCTCCCGGTATTGCGGTTTGACTTGAGCGTCTTACCTTATCTGCTCCGCCTAATCCCCGGGCCCTCACCGAGCGGGTGCCCCGGTCGGTCGTTCCCAGTCGGCCCCGACCGTGTCGGTCGGGGAATAGCCACGAGCATAGGTCCGGCGTATCCCCGGCCGGAAAAAGGAGGTTGGAGTCGGACTATGTCCCCACCTTGGTCAGGCCTTCGGTCGGGGGACCGGATCGTTCTCCCGGTCTGTCATTATGTATTTGGGCCGGCCCGGGAGGCGCAGCGTTGTCGCTACGTCGTCTGTTAGGTTGAGTTTTTGCAGGGAAGCGGGTCCATTAGGGACCCCGGGTTTATGAACCCGACACCATCCCTCTCAATGTACTCCTTCTACCTCAAAATACTTCACACTTTAGCTACCGTTGTCTGGATTCATAGCTAAAGTGTTAATTATTTTCGGATGAGGGGAGTACACATTGTGATGGTCAGATGTGCAAATCCAATAGCGAAATCTGTAGGATTGTACTATAAGATTGTAGCAAGTAGTTTGGCCGGAAAACTAAAGATTTGATATGATTTCACAAAGAAAAAACATGATTTTAAAAAATCTATATTCAAATGCAAATGACATAGTATAATTTACAACGTCCAAAAATGAAACAGCAACACCTAGCCTACGAGTAACGTCATCTTATACTCCCTCCGTTTATAATTATTATTCGTTTTGACTTTTTATACATCAATTTGCTATATTTGTAGATATAGCGTATGTCTAGTAGCAAATCCTGTGTATCTAAACGTTAAAACGATTTATAATTTGGAGAAAAGAAATAACAAACAAAGTAAATGAGCAAAACCGTTGGTGCACGTCTTCTAGTCTTTATCGTCTGTGCGACAACCGATTTACTCCCATTCGTTTCTAAATAATAAATTAACTTTTAGAATTTTAAGTCAAATTCTATACGCGTGGATGGATTTGTAGAAGTCAACACTACAGTAAAAAAACAGTATATCATTGAAATGTTGTTTTTATAAATAAAATATTCCTTCCCTTAAAAAAACGTAATTTTAGTCTTAACCTGGATAAATGCGTTTTTCTTAACGAAGGGAGTAATATTTTAAAACGTTTGAGCTAAAGATAAGTCTAAACGTGGATTTATTAAGAAAAGGAACTAAGGGGGTGTTTAGTTTCATCTCTCTAAATTTTAGTCGATGTCCCATCGGATGTTTGGATACATGTATAGAGTATTAAATATAGACTATTTATGAAATTAAATGCATAGATTGGGACGGTTTTATGAGACGAATTTTTTAAGCCTAATTAGTCTATGATTTAATAATGCGGTGCTATATTACATGTGCCAATAACAGATTAATTAGGTTTAATAAATTTATCTTACAAATTACCGCTGTGTAATTTATTTTTATTAGGATCTAAACACGCACAATCCACGTCACGCCCCTAACCTTTATCCTAAATCCGCGGAAGAAGGGAGTACCCTCCTCCCACCTGCCAGGCTGCCACGGCACGCGGCGACGACCCAGCGCGCCGAGGCGCGCCCGGCTGCCACCCGGCACCCACCACGCCGCGCGTCACACGCGCATTCGCGGGCGCGGCTCCCCGACATGCAGCTCGTCCTGTCCAGCCCCGTCCTTGCGGATGACGCCGTCGGCGGTGGGCCAAAGCCGACCCAGGCAGACACGACCTGGCCAGCTGACGCCTCGCGCGCCCCGTCGGCCGCCTCCACCAGTCGGCGCCTCGCCCGCACCGCACGCGGCACGCGCCTTCCCGCCGCGCCAAGAGACAACGGGAACGGGGGCTTTGCCTTTGCCCTTTCGGCGGAACCACCAGGCTGATCCGCGGGGCCCGGCGTGTCTGTGTGTTGGACCGCCTGCTCGGCTGGCAATTATTTTCGCCCCCCACCCACACACACACACACACACACACACTTTCCTTGTAAAACCGAGGCGCTCGAGGTTAGCCGCGCGGGCGTCCGAGAGCGACCCGCAGAACCAAAAGGCGAAGCAGAGGAAATATCGGCGACGCCGCCGCGTTGGAACGTGACGCTCACTCCCTCGAGGCCAACCAAGTCGCGCCGCGCGCTCACTTCGCAAGCGACATGTGATTTGTGAGACGTGGCTCGTGGCGGGCCGACGGCGCAATCGGCGCGCACTCACTTTGTGTGAGTGATGAAAACTCCGAATCATGCAGCAGCGGATCAGCAGCCTACGCAGCTGTCGACTTGTATGTAGCCCCTCGTGCCCAGCCACCACAAACACAGACGTTATCCAGCAGCTGTCGAGTGGAGAATTAGGACTGCTCCACTGCAACCTTTTTCTTACAGTATTTTACACCTGAAACAGACGGCAGATGAGAACCGGAGCAGTAGGCAACTTCGCTCGCTCTTCCAGGACCCGTCGGCGTCGTGCCGCCGTCCCTAATCCCGTGAAACGCCGAACGCCTCCACCAAACTTGCAGCGGCGAAACTTTCCAAACCAGGCGACCGTATCAAATGGACGACGACGACGACTAGTCGTAGTCGACGACTCAAGCAAGCAGTGAACCCGCAGAGCCGTTTCCCGCTGCGCACGTGCCGGCCCGCCCGTCCGCTTTGACGGTTCCCGGGCCCCGAGGCCGTCGCGATCCATCAAGAAAAAGCGCAGGGAACCCGCGCGGCGGCCGCGCCGCTTGCCTCTCGCACCAGGCACCGACCGGCCCACCAGCTCGGCCTCCGCCTCCCAGCGTCTTTATAAACCCCGCCCCCTCCGCTCGTCTCCTCCCCCACAACAGCAGCCGCAAAGCAGAGCACGGGAGAGAGCAGAGCGACACCAGCCAGCCAGCCAGCCGTCCGATCCTTTTGCCTGCCTGCCCAGGCAGCAGAAGGCCAGCAGCTGGTCCGATGGCTCTCGTCGCTCTCTCCGCCGCCTCCACCGCCCGCGCCGTGCTCGCGTCGCTGGCCCCCAGGGCAGCCAGCAGGGGCTACGCGGCGTCGGCGGCGTCGGGGGCCATGAGGCGCGCGGCAGCCGCGGCGGAGGGCGCGGCTGGCACGGGCGAGGCCAAGGAGGCCGGCAGGCGCGCCGGCGCCGCCGCCGGCGAGATCTCGTGGGTGCCCGACCCCGTCACGGGCGACTACCGCCCCGCTAACTGGGCCGCCGCCGCCGACCCCGCCGACCTCCGCGCCGCGCACCTCGCCCGGGCCTGAACAGCCCCGGCTCCCTGACCCCGCTCCGCCTCGTCGTCTCGTAGTATAACATACCAGTACCGTACCATGGTGGAAAGAGGTGGGGGTGGGGGTTCGTCTGGCGAATGGCGTCGTCGCGCCGCGCGCGCTCTGGTGACGTGACGCCCGGCATGTTCTTGGAGAGCGGGAGGTCTTCTCTCGGTCGGTCGCTGTGCGATGTGTTGGGAAGCTGGATCATCTTGCGTCCGACGACCAACGGGAGGTTTACAAACAAGAAGGGCGGCTTGTGGTCGCCGCCGTGTGTTTGCGTGCGTGCGTGACTGGGCTGGATGCCCTGCTCTGCTCTAGTGTGCTCGTATCCTATCAGATTCAGATCAGATGTACTTCCTCCAAGGAGCAGGGTTTTGCACTTTGCTGCTGTTTTACGTTCGTTTTGTACTCGCTACAGAGCTATTATATCATCACGTAATAATCTGCGGTTTCTTATTGCTATCCTACCTTTCACGTCATCTCGATTACGAACTGAACTTGTATGCTTTTTTCCCCCATCTGACAAAACTTGTGTCTATCAATTATTCAATTCAACACTAACGAACGGAACAACCTATCGATGTGGGACGGTGTTGATTACGCCTAGCTATATTATAAACGAAAAATGGAACGTGGTGCGAACGCTTCGAATCAATCAGACGCAGTATGGCAAAAGTAGTGATATACTCTACTATGTGTACAGGCGGTCAGTAGCCGCTCCTCTTCCCTCTCTCACACCGCCGGAGCCGGAGAACCTCGTTTTTTTGGGCTCCGCGGCTCCGGCTTCGGACAAAAAGGCCCAATCTCTTCGCAGACGCCCGTGGCCGTGCAAATCGACGCGACGTACCTGGCCGGTCAGTATGGCGTGGTTGGTCCCACGCGCGTAGCCCTCCCACGGTCCACCGCCTACCACTGGCATCCCCACCCCCAGCACCACCACCGTTCACAGACTTCACAGTTGCTCAGCGCCACTAACAGTAAAAATGATTCCTTTACAAAAAAAAAAAAAGAAACGGTAAAAATGATTTCATGTGGACGACTGACCGAATTGCTCGAGTGGCGAGTGCTCAGTTTTTTTCCCTTCCATTCTTTCTTGCACTCTTCACTCTTGCGTTCACACGCCAGGGTACGTTGCACGGTGCTTGGAAAAAAAAACGATGCGCTTTGCTTCAGCGCCCGGTGATCCCGTTGCGCTGCAGACGTCAGCCGATTATCACTGGCATTGGTTGTGCACTTGTGCTGCCTGCACTCGTCGCCTGTGACTTGCACAAGCCGCGTGCTCCCACGACAGGTCGGGGTGAGCCTACCGCACTTACAATCTAGAAACCACTAGGTCCCTGTTTGGATTGCAGGATTTCCAAAGAAAAAGTACAGGAATCAAGATTCCTCTATTTTATGTACTGTTCATGTGTTTGGAACACAGGATTTGAGCAATCCTTTCCTATGGAAAGTTTCCTTCACCTATGCATTTTGAAGGAAATAAAACATCCGGTCTAGGCCATTGGAAATTTTCATGTGACATGATGCGCATCTGCCTAAGCTACCGAACACTATTGCCATGCATCCGTGAGAAAAAGGACGAGACACAAGAGCCGAGAAAATATTTTTTATCTATTCACGTCGCTTGTGTTCTCCCTGCACCAACTCCAGAACTTTGATCTACGATCTACGCTTCAGTGCTCCATTCTTGAGTTAATGACCTACCAAACCTAATCTCAAGCTACCAAGTTCAGCAAAACAAGCACATCATTAGTCCAAATATAATGAGATTCTTCTACTAACTCATTCCTGCATTCCAAACGCTCATTTATGTAAATTTCCTGTGTTTTTCCATTCCTCTGTTTTACCACCACATTCCTTTCCTATTCCTATATTTTTTTTACCATTCCTATATATTTTTATTCCTCTGTTCCAAACAAGCCCTAGACGTAATTTCAAGAAACTATCCTCGACGACTTTTCTAATACATTAATTTTTAGTACTAACTTTCTCACTCCTAAAATAAATTTCGCTATGGATTCAAACTTTTAAGTTTAACTTGATCTGTAGAAATTATCAGTAACAGTTGTATCTCCAAATAAATTTATTATAAAAATAAATTCAACGATCTATCTAATAATATTGATTGTGTAATATAAGTATTAATATTTTTTTATATTTGGTTAAAGTTAAGAGCACTTGACTCTTCGAAAAATAAGAACAATACTTATTTTGGGACGAAGGAGTAGCCCATAACATGGATAGTTTCATAACACTCTTGCATAATCTTAAAATGTCTATGAGCCTAGCTCTTGATTAAAAGCTAGCTTTTCTGTCTCTTCTATTAAAATACAAAATAATATGCTATAAGATAGTTAATAAGTCACCATTAAAACCGTCCTTAGAACCATTCAAACAGTTAGAATAATAGTTGGATTACATTTTAGTTCATGTTACCTTAGTAAATAACTAATCCACTATTTGTAAAAAAAAAATAACCAATCCACTAGTTGGTAAAACAGAGTTAAAGTAGACAGGGGCTATTAGTCTATATATCCAAATAATACTGGATAACTTTATCAACTAAATTTTAGTCATCAAATAAATAATTCTGCCAATTAATAGACTAGTACTCCCTCCGTCTATTAAAAAATTACAATTATAGGATCCATGCCAGAACGGTCAAATTAGCTCAAATTTAATCAAGCTTATAGTAAGTAGTATTAGCATTTATGTCTCTAAATAAATTTATTATAAAAATATATATTATATAACTAATCTAATGGTACTTATTTTGTATCATTAATCTTAGTGTTTTTTATATAAATTTAGTCAAAGTTGAAACTATTTGACTTTTCAAGAAATGAGAATTGCATTATTTATGGATGGAGGAGTAAGTAATAATTAGTCCTAAGAGAGGGTCTATTTGGGATCGCCTATATAGAAGTAGAGTTTAGATAGATTAAAGTTTAGTTAGACTAAAATTTTGTGTTTAAATTTAGCCAAGTATTGTTTGCATACGTGGAATAAAAAGTGCAATAAAGGTAAGTAGTTTTTGTAGGCTCAATGCATTTGTAGCAGCTCAAAAATTTACTGGCAGCAGCTAGAGATAACTACGTCTCTCATTTTTTCAAGAAATTATTTTTCTATATATTTTTAAAATTAATATTTATAATGTAAGATTAGATAATAGTAAAATACATTTCTCATATAAACATATTAAAAATATATACAAATGTTAATGTTGTTTATAAATCTACGGAGTAGTTAAATTTTAAAAAATAAATTCTGAAAAAAATGAAATGTGCATGTCGGGATTGTCGGCACGGGACGGAAGGATCGCGACGAGAATTCGAGAGGCACTGGACCCGTGGACCGGTCATCACATGACGGCATGACGCACTGGCAGTCTAGCACGCCAGGATACTCCAGCGAAACAAAAGCTGTTGGGAATGGGCCGCCTGGTGTGCTGCGTGTGCACTCAAGTCCCGAGAAGATAGATACTGCAGCGAAAAAGCTGTTAGCAAAGACAAAGCACAGCGGGTGATGGGCCGCATGACGACGATGGTTACTACTCTTTTCGACCTAAAATATCGGTTGGCTCGAAAAAAAAATTTAATGCTGACGTTAGTTTTTTGTTGTAAAAAAAAAATGATTATTTTGCTAAAATAATATAGTTGATAAGTTCAAGCCAACGTAGCCTAATCTTTTTAGATTTATTTAATATATAAAATATCAATATTTGTGATGTGTATAATAGATATGATTAATGAAAGTACAAAATATATTTCGGCGTGATCATGCAAAGGCAGGGTTGGTGATGCAGATCAGTGTCTCTCACTTTACACTTCTCAAATCAACAGCACAAATTTGCTTAAAAGGCTTATACTTGCGATCGGCGGAACTGAGGGAGTTTAGAGTCTCAACCAGTGTTATACTAAATGTTAAATGGTAAACAGTAGGTCAGTTATTGTTTAACCATTATTCGATCTAAGCAACCTTTCAATGAGATAAACGACATATTAAATAGAAACAGAAACAACCACCACGTAGAGTTTAAATGATATGTAAATGGGCTAAACAATCTTTTAGGTGAACAGTGTCTTCAACACATGCTTTCTGATGCCATAATCGTAGTAGAAAACATGAGGTAAGACTGTCTCCAATAACCGTTATCTAAAATATAAGACCCATTCCACGTTTTGGTAGCGCTACATGCAAATGGTTCAATACCATTTTTTTGTCTTATCCAACAATAAAACCCAAAAGAGAACCCTTTTTACAAATGAATCTCCAGGAGAGAGGATACTCAGATTTGTGTTATACCTCTCCTGACATCCAAAATGGATCTTCCATATAGGTACTCTGTTGAGGCTATATATATTATGTTGAAGATCTATTTTAGATTTGGATCTACTGATGTAGGTCTTCTGTTGGAGATAGCCTAATAGAAAACAACCTGTTGGAGATAGCCTAATAGGAAACAACCTGTTGCACTCTCTGTCGTGTTTAGATCCACCTAACTAATAGTTACAAGCTGGTAAAATTTCCTAACTTATTAGCTGGTAAAATTATTTAAGGATGAATTCCAATGCATACAACTAATACAATAACTAATTGCTAGTTGGACACGCAACTAACAACTACTCCCCCCGTTCCGGTATACAGGGCGCGACCTGGCTTATTGTCAGATGCTAAGGATGCTAGCTCATCACCCAATATGGATTAGTGTCTTAGTGTCAATATGCATATTCGTATTAGTATTCGATTTTAATCTAGATACTAAGTGGATGTATCTGTACACGATTTCTATAATTTCTCTCCGGTTCCACATTCGTATTAAAAAAATATCAAATATCTGACATTGTTCCTATCCACAAATAACAAAGTACCGTGTAAAGTCATCTAAAACTTATATCTATGGCTAATTAGTAATCAACTTTAATATAACAAAAAATATGCATAATTTAAACTATTTAAAACTTATCTTTGTGACTAATACCATTATATAA